ACATCTAACATATATGCAAGAAATGCTCCATACAATATGTAGGAGAATCTAAGAATAATTTACGAACTCGTTTTAATGCTCATAGGTCGGATATCAAACTAAAGAAAGACAAGCCTGTTTCTAATCATTTCAACCTCGACGACCATTCAATAGACGATCTCACCCTAATCCCAATTGAGCGCATAGAAATTGACTTGCCCGAAGATGAAACTACCAAATTCCTTCAATCTAGGGAAGCCCATTGGATTGAGACATTGAATACAGCAAGACCTATAGGACTAAACATTCACCATAATGTAGGCATAGCACCTTTTGTTGTCCCGTTCAATACAACCAACAATCGAGCAAGCAAGATAGTTCATGCCCACTATAAGAGCCTTCAAGAGAAATTCCCCCATGTCTATAAGCAGAAAATGATAGTTGCATATTCAAAAAATAAGAACTTAAATGATAATATTGTTCATAGTAAACTAAAAACAATCAGTACATAACAAATACTATACTTCTCGCGCATAGGGCGAGTTATTTTTTCTAATTTCAGATCAGAATAAGAACAGAAGAAAACCCAATATCAATCCTAATTTCTAAATAAAGTGTCTGCTCCACCTTAGGCCTGTACATTTGGGAGAATCAAACCCTCCCTTCCCCGAAATCTAAATTTTTAAGATTTCTGTGGTATGCAAATGGTGACACAAATAACCCTCTTTCAGTTTACAAGATGGGAGTGCATCAGAATCAGAAGAAAACCCTTAATCCTAATTAAAGTGTCTGCTCCACCCTAGGCCTGTACATTTGGGAGAATCAAACCCTCCCTCCCCCGAAATCTAATGATAAGATAAGTGTAGAAGATTATATTCAATTAGCTAGCGGACATGATGTGACGAATGAATATGGCTACGTATTCATAGCTTCCTGGTAGTAAACTTATGGTTTTTAATGTAACTCCATTATCTGTTGATATTTTTATTTGGTTATTATTTTCGTTGATATTTATAAAGGAATTGTAAACAGAGAAATACTTTAATCCCAATTCATATTCTTGATTGCGATCGAGTTCATACTTCATAATCTAGAGACAATTTAATGTCTGATTTATTTGAGGTGCTAACGAATAGTTGTTCATTATTTTACATTTTTCATCACGTTTTCATAATCATTTTTATCTATAATACCTTTCTCGAGAAGTCTTTTTAATATGCAATTGACTTCATTATATTGTCTGTGTGATCGATGTCCTTCCTTCATTGCCGCTTCGTCAACTTCATATTCATCATCAATAACTTTTTATATATATATAACTTCTTTCGATCTATTTGTTTCGGGTAATGACTTTCTAATTGCATGTAGAAATTTTGAGTATCCTACTAAATGCTTGTAATCGGCAATGCCAACATCCTCGCCATTCATTAAATCTATTAATCCTTTTGTTAATGTAAATATAAAGTCTTTTGTATCGATTTTGAATATAGGGGAATTTGTTTTAAATTGTATTCTAAATCCATTAAACAATAACCCCACTTCATCAACGATTGGTGTAATACTCTTTGGTAAATCATCAAGAAGAATTTTTTTAAAAAACGAAAATGAAAGTAAAATGATTTTAAAAACAAAACGAAAGTGAAAGTAAAATAAAAAGTGAAATGAAAGTAAAAGTAAAATTATTTTAAAAACAAAACGAAAGTGAAATAAAAAGTAAAATGATTTTAAAAACAAAACGAAAGTGAAATTAAAAGTAAAAACGAAATGAAAGTAAAATGAATTTAAAAACAAAACGAAAGTGAAATTAAAAGTAAAAACGAAGTGAAAGTAAAATAAAAATAAAAGTAAAATAAAAAACGAAATGAAAGTAAAATGAATATAAAATCAAAATGAAAGTGAAATAAAAATGAATTCAAATTAAAAAGAATATTTTTTTCATAAATAAAATAACATAACAGCTATGGCGCTCATGGGCCACCATAGAGATGAAATAAATGATCTCAAATATAAGAAAGGTAAATTTTATGCTATAACAAATATACATACTTCCATTCAAAAAGGAGTTCATCATTTTGCTTTGTACAAAGACTCTTGAAATAAATTGTATTTCTTTGATTCTTTTGGATTAGAACCAACTGAAGAGACAATGAAATTGACTAATCAACAAATCAAATGTTCAACATTTCAAATTCAATTACAACGACAAAAGTTTTGTGGACAGATTACACTTTGGGTTTTATATCAGTTGAGTTTCGGAAAACAGTTTGAAGAAATAATTTTTTTTTTTCGAACAGTTTATTTAATAACAAAGGTACATAATATATATATATATAGTTTGTATAATAAATTAGTTATAATTGCATTGCATTTTATTTCATTCATGAGGCTTTATGATAATTTCATTACTTTTGTATCGTTTTCCAGACATTTATGAATTCTAATTGATTTTTAGTTTTGTATCTTATATTTTTCAAAATTTCATTTAGCATCAATTCAAAGTGAGGTGGGTTTTCAAGACATTTTGCACATTTATAGATATAGTATTTACATATCAAAAGTATCATATTGACACCATTATTATATTTATGATTGATAGATCCAAAAATGATATTCACATCATTGAGTTCTATAAATATATCAGCATTAAACATTAGGGTTTCAAGGTCAGTCCATAAGGGGTCACAAACGGACAGGAGCTGAATAGATGGACATAACTTTCTACATGATTTTTACAAAAAGTACAAAGGTCACAGTCACTAACACATATTAATTTCAGATACGACTTTAAAGGTAATATTCTGTGGATCAATCTATATTGAAACCATTGTAATTTCGAATCTCTGGTTGTTCTAAATATATTACTGAAAATATTTTTTTCCACATTAAATTCTCATCCGATTCCATTTGACAGTAAATTTAGGAATGATATTATGATTAATTAAAGAGTTATAAATATCGGCACACCCCTTTTGATTTTTTAGTATACAGATTAAACTGGTCGGCATAAAAGGTCTGACAACTTCAGATTTAGTCTTATCAATAATTATATTTTCTCGCTTTATAAAAAGTTTTACACAGTTTATAAACCTTTATATTTTAAAAATGCGATATTTAGAATTTTAAATTTTACTTCAAAGTCATATTTGTATAGAAAATTACCTTTAGTGTCTAGAACATCATCTAATATTATTACTCCCTTACTTAACCATGATTTATATAATAAAGTCTTTTTGTCAATTTCAAAATAGGGATTATACCACAGTGGCATTTTCAGTGCAGCTTCTTTATTGTTATCAATTTTATTTCATAATTTGAGAAAAGAATCAAATACATCTTTCCAAAATTTGTTTCTTGTATCTTGTATCTTTCTGTAATTGAGCAATGAATTGACTTCCACCATTAGATAAATAATTTAAGAAATTATCACCATAATCAGCATTTAATATACTAATCCAAGGTTGTGATGATTTAAATAGTTTTCTTATCCACGTGCATTTGAGAGCAGCTATGAAATTGCTGATATCTGTCAATTTTAAGCCACCATCTGAATATGGTTGAGTTATAATGCTGCGTTTGATCTTATCAATATTTGTACCCCAAATAAATTGAAATAAATCCGAATTTAGTTTTTTTAATAAATTTTTGTGAGGGATTTGGAAGTGAAAGAAATAAATGTACCAACTTTGGAATTATAAGCGTTTTTATTACTGTTACGTTACCTATTGGAGTTAAATGTCTTTGTTTCCATAGCGATAATAAATCATATCATCAAGGTTTATACAAAAATCAAGTCCTAGTAATGAAAAAGATGAATTACCCCATTCCAATTTCCAGCGGTCGTGATGATAGACTACTTTGCTATATATTATTTGCTTCCGATCCATACAATTTTGGTTTTTGAACTATTTATTGTAAGACCCGAGAGTTTAAAGAAAAAATCAAGTGTTTCGACAGAAGCAAACAGTGATTGTTCAGAGCCATCAAGAAATAAAGTTGTATCATCAGCAAACTGTGATATTTTATGCTCCTGATTTATAAATATTCCGCATATCTTTTTATTGTTTTTTATTAAAATGGTCAAAATCTCTGCACATAAAATAAAGATGTACGGTGAAATGGGGTCACCCTGACGGCAACCTCTCAAAAAATTGAAATAGTCCAAACGATGGCCATTTTGTATTACGCCAGCTTGCATATTAGAGTTAAGAACTTTAATCCAGTTTTGTATAACCTTTCCAAATTTGAAAAATTTTATTACTTTATATATGAAGGACCATGCAAACGAATCAAAGGCCTTTTCAAAATCAATAAAAACTAATAAACCAGATATATTATTGCGCTCAGTGTGATCCATTAAATCATATACTAGTCGTGTATTTTCACTCATACATCTACCACTTATAAACCCTGTTTGAGAATTTGAAATCAAATCTTTCAGGACAGACTTAATTCTAACTGCTATACAGCCTAATAATAGTTTATAATACACATTAAATAGTGTAATTGGCCTCCAATTTTTTAGAAAATGTCTTGGCTTATTGCCCTTTGGAATACACGTTATTATGCCTAGTCTTTGATCAATTGGAAAAATTTTATTATCATATGATTTATGGATGGACCGCAAAAGAAAATGTTTGATATGAACCCAAAAACACTTATAAAATTCTGCCGAAAAACCAGTGGAACCTGGTGATTTATTGGATTTCATTTTATTCAAAACATTTTCTAATTCCAATAGAATTATTTGACTTTCTAAAGATTGAGATTGGTTATCTGAAAGTTTCTTTATATTGTAATCGTTCAAATTAGCATCTAAGTCATATTCTAATAATTCATCTTCTTTCGAATCATAAAGATTAGCATAGAATTATAATAAATTTAACTAAATAAAAATGGCGAACAAGTTTGGATTAGGTTCTTTATCTTTAGAAACTAAAAAACCTAACACTACAGCATGGATAAATAAGACGAAACCTTACTTTGTGGATCAAATCGGAGACACTCTTTAAGGCGATTTAGATATGAACAATTTCAAAGTAACTAATTTAAAATCTCCGGAAAATGATAATGACGCTGTTCACAAGAAATATTTACGTGATCAAACAAATTCAATTGAAGTAAATAAAAACCATTTAGAAGATAAAATAAGTAATGTGAAAAGATTCTTCAAACGTCAATTAAATAATAAAAATTTTATTAATGATACTAAACTACCGCAAGAGGTAGCAGGTTTAATTAGTTTTATTCAAAAACAATTGGTCAACGTAGAGAACAAAACTATAAAAAAATATGGATTTACAGCAAATATAAGAGTATATAAACCAAATGATTATCCCTATAAAATGTTTGATGGTAAATATCCAACATATTTTTATTTCCTAGGAAAACCTCAAATTGAAATTATTTTTCCTATACAGGTAAAAGTTGATTCAATATTCTTCGGACAAGGATTTCGATCATCTAATAAATTCAACGCTCGTAAAGTTCTTCAGTTTATCAAAGGTACAGAAAATGTAGAAACTAAAGAATTTGAAATTAACGATGAAAACAACAAGACTGATCACTTGTATGAAATTAAAACGAGTGGAAAATATATAGATATGTTTAGAATATTAATCATACCAGATAAAGAAAAAATTATACTTATTTATTTGGTGAATTTGGTGTGATATTAGAAACGGAAAGTCCACCATCAATGAATATTATTAGAAATCCAGAACCACAAAATAAAGGGGAAAGGAGTTATGAGTGTTTACGAGCAACAGACTTTGAATATGTAAAACTATATTTTGTTAATAATGATATATTTACCTCAATTGATATTCATAAAAGTCAACAAAAACAAAATTGTTTGATACCAGCAATAAGAGATGATGTGGTATATGTTAATATATTAATCTCTATTGAAAAACCAAAATTTTCAGTTCATCTAAACAAGATTAATGATTCGAAAGAACAAATATCGCTAGTAACTATAGTTTTTATTGAAGATATTAAACCAGTACCAGCTTTTGGTGTATCAAAAATTCATTTAATTTATATTTTTTCTAATTTCAGATCAGAATAAGAACAGAAGAAAACCCAATATCAAGACCCTTAATCCTAATTTCTAAATAAAGTGTCTGCTCCACCCTAGGCCTGTACATTTGGGAGAATCAAACCCTCCCTTCCCCGAAATCTAATACTGTCCGTGCCAGGCCAGATCAGACAATTTATTTTGACTTTGGTATATTTTATTTTATCTTATATATATTTTATTTTTTTTGTATATATTGTATATGTTAGGATTTTGACATTTGTTTCTCGTGCATATAACAAACTTTCTTCAAAAAAATTTGCATTAATCTTTTAATCTAACCAAGTAAATTTAATTGCCATTATTTATGTTTTTCTTTCATGTAAATTATACTCCGAGATAATCCATCCATTTAAATTACTACTCGGGTATTATCAAAATTCAAAGTTAGTTCTAATTAATTTACAATTCACTAATCCCGCTTATTTTATCAAATATTTCTCATGTTTATTTATTTTATATTTTTGTATTCTTGATTTCTGATTATTTATGTTTTTCATTTATGTAAATTGTACTCTTGAGATAATCTAATCCTCCTGAATTATTACTCAGATATAATCAAAATCTGATCCAATATTTCTATAATCCTCAATTGATCAAAGATATGACTCAACTAATTAAGAAATCAAAAATAATCCTAATCCTCAACTGATCAAAGATATGACATGATTCACTCAATAATTTTTAGAAAATCAAAAACCTGTATTAACTGACTACTATATTAATCGCAAATTCATTTCATAACCATTCCTCGACACTTGAAAAAGGATAATATTTCGAAAACCGGTTCTTGTCAATTGCGTAAAGTTTTGTTTTACTTGTTATAGTTTTTCACATCATTGTTAGCGTTATTCATCACCTAAATATATATTTTTTTGCATTTTTCATCTTGCTTTATATATCCCCAAACCCAGTTTGACTTATTTGCATAATTTGATCCCAACATTTTCACGCTAGCATATACAGTTTCCTCCTGTTACATCCGCTGTACATTCCCTTCTAACCCCAAGTTATTTTCATTATGCTCCCAAACTACAACAACCACTGGCAAGAAGCCAGAAATAGAAACACTAATCGTGAACCAAACCAATAACCCGTACCCTACAACGGCCCTGTCTTCCATCGACCTCTACCACCTACCAATCGCCGACCACCAACCAACCCATCCAGCTATATCCCACCCCATCGCCGACCTACCTACAACACAGCCTACCAATCAAGAGGTAACCATCGACCTGACCAACAACAGAAACGACTACCAGCCCACCGACGCCAACCAGTCCCCACTCATAAGGAGGAAGAACACTTTGTGAAGGTGTTCTTCCAAGTTTTGCAGTGCCTCCATCATTTGGCAATCCTTACCCTTCAACAGCAAGGCAAACCAGCGTTTACCTTCAAACGCAAAGTCTCTGAGTTGGATAGTTTTATCCGTCCAGCAATGAAAACATCAGCTGTCGACGCGAATATTAGATCCCTCAATCGGACATGGCTCTGTAAGGTTACGCACGTCCTGATCAACCATTACCAAACCACACTTCAAGAGAAGCTGACCACCATTCTTACCGAGTCTTTATCATCACCTGCTGTCGACCGCATCGTTTCTCATGCCCTGTCCTGGGCCCGTCGCTCCTATGGGAAACGTCTCACTCAAGCTGTAATTTCCAAATTCTACCAAACAATCAACGAAACAAAAACCAGAGTAACCATATCTCTACAAACTGAAATGGACACTACACCTGCACCATCTAGAGCCACCACGCTGCCGAACCAAACCCCTAAACGAGCCCGAAGTTCACCTACTCCTAGTCCAGCAGACATAGGTAAACGCTCTCGTAGAGAGGGTACACCCCTTCTCTTTTCACTTTCAGACTCGTCTTCCCCTTCCACACCATCTGAATCTTCACCACGTGATCCAGGATCCGCCAACCTTTCTTCCTTCTGTGCGTTTTTGGACCAGCAAACCACCCCTCAGCCTCCATCCAAGTCGAGACGTGTATCCAGACCTTCCCCTCCTCGAACCAGATCCCAGTCCGTTCCCAATGCTACAATTCTAACAACTACCAAACCAGTACCAATCACACCGTCGACGACCATTATATCCGCTATCAAACCGTATTATCACCAAACCAAGGACAAATCATTATGGAAACTACCTGCTCTAAAGAAATCAACCTTAATAATTGGATCATCTAACCTGAATCGAATTACCAAAACCAGTTCAGACACCGAAATACATTCTTACCCCGGTGCCCAAATCCATCACATACAGTCAATCCTGGAATCATACGACCATGATCCCAAACCTACTACCATTATTCTTCATGTAGGCCTCAACAACCGTGATCAGATACCAAAGACCTCCTTTAACCAAGCCCAGAAATTAATCGCTACAGCCATCAAAACTTTCCGAAACTCCAAGATCCACTTCACATGTATACCCATTTCAAATAAAATCTCGAAGAAAGCACAACAGAACCTCAGCACCCTCAACAACATGATGATGGAGTCCAGTATCAACAGCGCAACAATCTTACCACCCTACGAAGAAGAATTCGAAACAGTTGATAATCTTCATTGGTCTCCAGAAACAGCAAACAGCATCTATTTGTTTTGGATACACCAGCTTCAAGCATCGAGTAAGTCTTTAAACTAATTACTGGGGATAAAAATACTGAGAGGCCACCGCTAGGCCAAACTGTAGTTAACTTGAGCCGCAAAATTCTCACACCCCTTCAGCATTCAATCTTAGACCGTGGACTTAAGTTTATTCCCACACCAAAGATAGCTAACTTGAATTATCTCCGACCATCCATTGAACGATTTCAACGAAATCTTAGCTGCACATATTTTTTTCGAAACCACCCCCACGTGGTGCTAGAACAATGTTTATTCCTAAATCCACGTGGACACCCCCCCAGGCCGCCATCCATCCTGAAATATTGAAAGCATTTGCGAGTATGAATAGCCAGTGAACCTTTCCATAACACACGAAAAGCCTAATCTCACACGAGTGGAACGTGAAGCGTTAAACTTACTTAAGAAAGACGATAGCATTGTTATTAAAAAGAGTGACAAAGGTTCATGTTGTGTCATTCTGAATAGGGAGGATTACGTTTCAGAAGCAGAGAATCAACTGAATAATCCTAAACATTATGCCATTTTACCGAAACCAATTTTCAAAGAAACTGCTAACATGATTAATAATATTCTTGCCGATTTAGTCAAAACTAGTTATCTCAAACAGAAACAATATGACTATCTGTCTGCCAAACCTGATTGTCGCGAGAGACATTTGTACACTTTGCCTAAAATCCATAAGAATCCAACCAAGGCGTGGTTTATCTCGAATAAAATCCCTAAAGGCCGCCCGATTATATCTGACTGTGGTAGTGAGTCATATGCAGTGTCACAATACATTGATCATTTCTTACTACCACTAGCATGCCAACATCGCGCCTACCTTAAAGACACAACCGATTTTGTCAATAAAATAAAAAATCTTCGAGTTCCCTCTAATGCCATTTTAATTTCTATCGACGTTTCTTCTATGTATACCAATATCGATAACACTACTGGTTTAACGGCAGTTCGTAAAGCTTTTAATAGAAACCCAGATCCAAACAGACCCGACGATGCAATTCTACAGCTTTTAGAGATTTGTCTTAGTCGAAACGATTTCACATTTAATGGTAAAACATATTTACAAACTTCAGGGACAGCAATGGGCAAACGATTCGCCCCTTCGTACGCAAACCTTTTCATGGCAGAGTGGGAACGTGAGGTGTTGCCCCTCTGTCCATTTGACCCACTTTTTTACGGACGCTTTTTGGATGACATTTTTATGGTTTGGACTTATTCTATCGAACAGTTTTGGGAATTCTTTAAAATTCTCAACAACCACCATCCTTCTATCAAACTAACCGCAAACGTGAGTGACAAAAGCATAGACTTTCTCGATACCACAGTCTTTAAGGGAGATTCCATAGCAGAAACAAATAAACTGGATATGAAAGTGTATTTCAAAGAAACTGATACTCATCAACTCTTGCACAAGAGCTCCTTTCACCCAAAGCTCCATGTTTGTCCAGTAGATGCAAAACATGTCCCTTTATATCAGAGATTCATTATTTTGTAAGCAACTCTAGAATGTAATATATTTAATTTCATGCAAGAAATGCCCCAAACAATATGTAGGAGAAACTAAGAATAATTTACGAACTCGCTTTAATGCTCATAGGTCAGACATCAAATTAGAGAAAGACAAGCCTGTTTCTAATCATTTCAACCTCGACGACCATTCAATAGACGATCTCACCCTAATCCCAATTGAGCGTATAGAAATTGACTTGCCCGAAGATGAAACTACCAAATTCCGTCAATCTAGGGAGACCCATTGGATTGAGACATTGAATACAGCAAGACCTATAGGACTAAATATTCATCATAATGTAGGCATAGCACCCTTTGTTGTCCCGTTTAATACAACCAGCAATCGAGCAAGCAAGATAGTTCATGCCCACTATAAGAGCCTTCAAGAGAAATTCCCCCATGTCTATAAGCAGAAAATGATAGTTGCATATTCAAAAAATAAGA